ACCACCATTACTATCCTCAGAAAATATTGCACGATATTGTGTTACTATATCAAAAAAATGTTCTCTAAATACATCAATATATTTTTTTAAATAAAAGACGGGATCTTTCTTTTCTTTATCTAATTCATGAATCAATGATTGTAAATAGGCATCTCTAGAAAGTAGAAATACAAGATGTAGCTCAGCCTCATCAAATATATCCATACGTCTCAAGTACCCAATAATTTTTAAACACACAGGAAGCTTGATTGGTTTACTTAATAGCTTAATAAGTTTTGTTAACATCAATTGCATTGTATTTTTAACATCGTTATCAATCTGTTGAATTAAAGAGATTGATGGATATTTTGAGATTAATCTTGTTACGTGTACAGAAAGATCCATTGCTTCTGAGTAAAGTCCATTCCTGACACAAGCATCCATCAATTTAGGAATTTCCATGATTTCTAATAGATTATTATGATTTTCAAGAATTATATTGATTTTATTATTTTGTTGAGTGAATTGTTTTAGTTCTTGAAGAAATGGATTACAAGAATTTTGAATATTGGGCAAATTTGAAACTAAATTGTTTAAATGTAAAGATAAATTGTCAAGTGAATTGTTTATTGTTTGCAAGTTATTGTTTGCATTACTAAATGATTTATATTCATGAAAAGATAATTCAGCCAATTCTTTTTGGTATTTAAGTTTTTCATCTTGAACAAGTATTTGTTCATGTGTATATGTTGTAGAAGGTGAATCAATTGAGGAAATAAAATCAAATTCATGAACTGCTGAATTATTATCCATATCTTTGAAATTTTAGAAAATATCATTACATATTAATATATAAAATAGAAAATCTGACTCGTGTAACCAATCAGATTTTAAAATTTAAACATCATTATCAATCAAAAATAAAACTATGACATTATAGTTTTTTAATGAACCCTCTCCCATATTTATAGAGGCTATATATGTTAAGCTATACTTATTCAAAAACAGCATTACTTTTTACTTCAAAACTAAGATTTTTTACCAATATTACCTTTATAAACTTGGTGAGTGGTTGAAAAGATGTAAGTTTTCATATAGGTAGGTATAGCTTTATGTGGATTGTTGTTTATTAAAGTTTAATGAATATCAAATAGTTATTTTTTCGATTATTATAATAATTATTAAATTTTGCATATTTCGATAAGTCGGATCTCTCGATAAAGTCGGATGATCATGCCCAGCCACTCGTGTCCGACTTATCGAGCTTGCCTATGTATTAAGTAACAAAATAATTAATGATTACACGGAGGATTGTTATAGGGGTTTCTTGTGATATTAGGTCTGGATCACCACTATTAATTTTAAATTATAATATAACATACATAATAATATATTGTAATCATAAGGTTACAAAAAAAACTTGTAAAGTCAAAGTAGTTTCTCCATCATTAATAAACTTGCATCCCTTAATGATTAATCGGCTATTGATAGCTGATAAATTTTTCTGATATAAATTTTCCCTAAGCATATCGCTTCCTAATATGAAATGATCTATGAGATTATAACCTTTCTTTAAAAGTTGGTGAACTGCTGAATTATTATCCATATCTTTGAAATTTTAGAAAATATCATTACATATTAATATATAAAATAGAAAATCTGACTCGTGTAACCAATCAGATTTTAAAATTTAAACATCATTATCAATCAAAAATAAAACTATGACATTATAGTTTTTTAATGAACCCTCTCCCATATTTATAGAGGCTATATATGTTAAGCTATACTTATTCAAAAACAGCATTACTTTTTACTTCAAAACTAAGATTTTTTACCAATATTACCTTTATAAACTTGGTGAGTGGTTGAAAAGATGTAAGTTTTCATATAGGTAGGTATAGCTTTATGTGGATTGTTGTTTATTAAAGTTTAATGAATATCAAATAGTTATTTTTTCGATTATTATAATAATTATTAAATTTTGCATATTTCGATAAGTCGGATCTCTCGATAAAGTCGGATGATCATGCCCAGCCACTCGTGTCCGACTTATCGAGCTTGCCTATGTATTAAGTAACAAAATAATTAATGATTACACGGAGGATTGTTATAGGGGTTTCTTGTGATATTAGGTCTGGATCACCACTATTAATTTTAAATTATAATATAACATACATAATAATATATTGTAATCATAAGGTTACAAAAAAAACTTGTAAAGTCAAAGTAGTTTCTCCATCATTAATAAACTTGCATCCCTTAATGATTAATCGGCTATTGATAGCTGATAAATTTTTCTGATATAAATTTTCCCTAAGCATATCGCTTCCTAATATGAAATGATCTATGAGATTATAACCTTTCTTTAAAAGTTGGTCGATTGACTATTTTTACTTTGCTGATCGTTAAATTGACCAATAAGAATGTGAGTTCGTGATTTTGTGTTACAATTAAAGAATGACCGTTTTAAAATAATTTTTATTAATACAACCTATTTTATTCCATCACTACTGACACTACTAGTTTAGATAACTTAAAACATTGTGTTCTTAGTAACAAAGTTAATTCTTCATAATGTCAAGGTAAAGGAGCAAAAAAAAGCTCATGATCATGAAATAAACATAAATGTGTATTTATGTGTCTATGTACATTAATTAATATTTAAAAAGTTTTTTGATGATGTGATTTTGTAATTATCGCATTCGCATAGATGCCAGATGGAACCATAAAATTATTGTCCGACTACAGTGCAAGTCACTTAGTCCTGTAACTTTTTATTGGTCGTGTAGATACTTCAATATTCCAAAAATGGAAATGTAGCACCAAAAAATAAGCGTTTTTGAAGCAAGACCTTTCTCTACAAAGTTATGATTTCATCTTGTTGATATGTCATGTTGTGGAGGATTTGCAAGTTTACCGAATTTACTAAAATAATTTGACGATTCGTAGTCTATGAATAGGAAAGCATAATGGACATTTGATTTCATTGGCTAAATTTTGTGATGCTCCAATCTGAAACTGAACTGAAAATTCAGTTTTACAGTTTTTCAATTTACATTTGACCCAAAAATTCAGACATTCTAAATTTATTAACCACACAAATATACATTAATAATTTCACAAAAAATAACTTATAGCTTGGTTTTGGCAAATGTGTGTTGCCACATGTTCTTCAGGTAGATCGGAGAGGTGAGTTTAAGGGCAATTGTATGAAAAAACATGGTGTTAAAATCTGTCAATTCTCATAGGACACAAGGTATTGTTGAACAATTTAATGTAACTTCATCTGAAAAAAACACTTGATTCCCAATATTCTACATAACTTATAACCAACGATGTTTCTAAAGCTTGAATTAAAGGTAATGATGAGCAACTTATTACATTAAATAACAAAAAGACATATCTTCTTAGTATGAAACCAGTTGATGCAATTAAGTTACAGAAAACACCAAAAATTAAAGTTTCTTACAATAGACTAAAAATGTTTACTAATAATACAATGTTTAAAGCTCTAACCAAGCCAAGCCAAGTTTATACTTAGCTTGAGCCAACTTGAAATTTAATATTATTTTTTTATAAAACCATTATTATTGGAAATAATTGAATAATTATAGAAGTAAAGCAATAATAAACTATAAAAAATTGTATAACATACTTGGAACATTAAATCATCATCAATAATTTATGACAGACTAAAGAATTCCAAAAATTCCAATTCTATGTTTTAATAATATCTGCGCTTCCCCAGTATATGCATACAGTCAAACATAAGAAAATTTTGTTATACCAAAATTACTAATCAATTTTATGTTAAAAATTCACAGTAATATGAATTTAATTATATTTGTTGAAATGAGAGGTTTGACTATATAATGTTTGCTCAGATAAACAAAATGCAAAACATTTAAAAAAATCTTTATTATTGAATTCCTATTCATAATACAAATTCTTATTCAAGTTATTCATAATCAAATTATTTGTTCATTCTTTGAATTATTTATTTTAGTTGGATTATTCATTTGATTGTTTGTTCAAACCATTTGTTTATTCGTTTTATTAAATTGATTTTAGATAATGTTGTAAATAAAATAAAAGTAAAATGAAATAGTAGAATTAATCATTCATTACCTAAAAAAAAACTTATATAACATTAAACTCAAACCTATTATTTCTTGGCTCATTAGAAACTTTAGGCATAACCCTCACATTTGGCACTATATGCCTCATCTTCAGGCAAAGAAAACATTTGAAAGCCAGCAACTACAACAGCATATATAACCTTGAATGAAAGAAGGAGCGCATACAAAAAACCTAACAGGACTATAGTCATAGTTATATCTACTTGGTAGATTCATAGTCCACATAGTCCAGCTAAATATTTACATAATCTTATAGATTATGTACTGTAACTACTCAACCATCAAGCATAAAGCTTCAAATGAGATGAGCTGGCTCGGGTTAATTCTACTATTTCATAATATTTTATTTATGCAATCCATCACCTAAAAAACAATCTAAGAGCTTATTTTCTTGAACACAGCTCAAACTTGAAAATTCAATCCTACTCAGAGTTTATGAATAAAATGAATAATTTGAACAAGAATTTATATACAAATAGAAACTCTAGCTCAACTCAATAATAATAAAGATTTTTTAAATATTTGAGAAAATTTTATACAGCCAAACCTTGTTTCAATGAATTATAATTAAATCATATCACAATGAATTTTAAAATATATAAAATTCATTGAAATGTGATTACAACAAACTTTAAATAGATTTGTTGAAATGAGGCTTAACTGTATGCATATATTTCAGAACCTAAAAAACATGGAATCTTGAATTGTTTTCATTTGAAAATTTTCAGTTTGTCACAATAATTTTTACTTCAATTATTTTCAATGGTCTGTAAAACTGTGATTTATATTAAATTTCAAGCTGGCTTGAGTTTGGACTAAGAATAAACTTGGCTCAGCTCAGCTCATCCAGAGCAGTAACTCAGTGAATGGTAAAAAACAGACATTTATTTCAAGTAGTATAATATATTGTTTAAAATTTAAGATATGAAAATATAATTGTTTTCCTCTACTCTCTAATTAAAGAAATCAGTCAAAGAAAGGCAGCAAGCTAAAATTATTTATGATATGTAGATGAAGTTTTACATTCCCTGTAGCAGGGTTGGCAAATTGACTGGTCCATGTACTAAATATGGTTAAAATGTTACACTAATGGACTACCAATGGACCATACATTTGCCAACCATGCACTGTAGTGTCAGGTGCTTATGGCACTTCCAAAAAAGATATTTCTTTCAAGGAATACTTTAAGATCTTTTGAGAATGTCTCATTTATAAATATTATGGAGGCATGTCCAATTCTAATATACAGACAATATCACAAGATGTGCAAGAAAAGAGTGAAGAAATTAGAAAAGATGTCAAAAAACTTGAAGATTGATATGAGGAGCACAGTGTTGCTGCAAAAATGACAATGAACTTGTTCAAAAATAGATAAAAATACATGGGAAATTGACATCATCTCTTAAATAGACTTGTACCACTATTGCAAGTGATTTACTAAAGTGCCTAGAAGGAGGAAATTTGGTAGAGAAGTTAATAATTACTGGTTCTTGTATAAAAAATAAATCCTCTGTTCTTGTTAATCTTAATTCAAAAATGATTTTGGCAAATGTACCCTAGAAATTAATGAAACATGTGTGGTTGACAGTTATAGAATTACATAAAGAAACTTTGTTCTGACTTTGATAATAGGCCTTTTATTATTATTACCTCTGTTCATGATAACCTTGGACC